GGAGGCGCCCGGCGTTCCTGGAGGGCCCTGGAGACTCCTGGAGGCCCCGAAAGGTCCTGGCAGGTGCGCCGCCGCCTGCAGTCTCATCTCGCGGCCGAAGGGCGCGCGCGGGGGCCCACAGGGGTCCGGCCTTGAGCTTGCGGGGGCAGGACAACCCATACCCGCAGCAGACCAACGGGCAGGAGGGCAGGCCGACCGGCCAGGGCGGGTCGATCAGTCACAAATTGAAGGTAATCCGGGTGGGCAGGGTCCCCGGCGGCGGGTGCCCTGCTCGGCGGGGCGGGGCGCGCGGGCACTGCAAAGTGATCAATCAACACCACTGCTTTGGCCCCTCGCAGTCCCTCGGGCGGCCCGAACAGGCGGCCCGGACAGGCGGGAGTGAGGGAACAACGCGGAATTATTATTGAGGGGGAAAAGCCCCGGCATTGCAGTGTGACGGAGGGGGGGTGGCCCCCCGCAGACACGCTCACCACCACTCGCCACTCACACAAACACGCCGCCGCCAGCTGCTATCCACTCACCACTCGATTGCGTACATACAGGGATGATTAAGTAGTTTGGTAGAAAGCACCACGTGGTGGCACTGGCCGTTACAAATTGCCGGACAGTGTATATTTGTCAGGGCTGGCACTTAGTGTCACAGTAATACAATCCGGCCCACTTTCATTCCCAGTCTAGCAAAAAGTCTACAGGCCATTTAGTGCTTTAACTGGGGGACACTTCATGTGATATTCATGCGATATTCGTGCACGTTAGGTACTTGACATTTTGCAGGCTGTTCTGCTTCAAGAACAATAAGCACAAGCGTTCAGAGAGGCCGGGGGGCAGGGTCTGCCGGGCAAGGCCTGGCTTCCATGCCATGGCAGATGATATGCCGTTCCGACTGTTTGATTACCCCGACCGCCCCTACTGTTTATGCGTGGAGAAGGGGGGGGGGGCTGGACAGTGGACGGGGGAAGCCCCTTTCAGAATGGCTCATTAATTCATGGCCACCTCCTGAATTATTTGGAGATATGCATCGGACCCCTTCCCCCGCCCCCTCCCTGCATGGGGAATAACCTACACCGCCATGGCGGCCCCCTCCATTCATATAGCGAATATGAGTGCGAGGCGTCCAATCTGACATATCGTGAGTGAGAACAGTATCACGCCGCGACAAAGTGTGGCTGGATAAACCGTATCGGATCGGCGCGTCGGTCACGCGCTTGTTTCCGCGTTGAGTAATAACGACCGGACTGATACATCAACGCTGTTTGTACTCTCCTCCTCCTTTATATCATTCTTGAAAACTTCTCTTTTGGTTCGCGTTGATCCACCCCCCACCCCTCTGCAGGTTTTCATTTTCACATCGTTTTGTCAGTTATGACGCAATCGATCGAAGTGGCCCTTAATTAAGGCAGGGGCTGGACGGGCGTCAGGTTTGCCAGACTCCCGCCATCTTTGGCAGCGCCGCCGGTGGGGTGGGAGAGGGGGTCGGCAGAATAAGGGGGAGGAATATGAAAGGGGGAAATAAATCCTTGCGGCCGTGCGGTATTCGGCATAGCTATGCCATAGCCGCCTCCCCCCCCCGGATAAAAGGCAGGGAAGGGGTCGCGGGGCGGGAGAGAGCATGAGACCGGTATTGCAGTGAGTGCTCGCTCTCTCTCACACACACACACCCTCTCTCTTTCCTTTCTCTCTATCCTCCAGTGAGTGAGGCTGCATGTCGTATCGATTTCGCCCGGCTTCCCCTGTGTACCCACCTCACATCCATGTCCAATGCCCAGCGGCAGAGCCGTGCTACTTTCCAACCCCCGCGGAGGGGGTGGCGGAGGGGGGAGGCTCTGGAGGCAAGGTGGAAAGGGGGG